TAAGTTTGATAATAATTGCAGTAACATAGAGAGTACACATTGCAGGTCTATCATTGTGGAATAAAAGCACATATGCTGTTTATTTCTTGCATCTTGGATGAGTATGCTATGAAACCAATATGGCCATGGGTCAGCATTGTCTAGTTTTATGTTGTATTGGATTTTTGTGTTTGACTGAACATGAAATGACAGTAAATATGACAATGTTTTTTTCCCCAGTTCCAAATCAGACGCTTTTTGGCCAGTTGAAAGGATGTGTCTCCAAAAGTGTTTGCGAAACTTCCGAATTAGTAAATTTCACTTGCTGTTCGGGAAACCTGTGTAATGGTAGTGAGGCCTGGCTAAGACTCAACCTCAGCCTTTTATTGATGGTCCTAACTGCTGCCATACTTCTCCAATAGATCTCTCTCTCCCTCCCTATCACCTTACATAAACATATATTGATGACTTTTTGTATATAAGCATGTGTTAATGTCTCCATCTCTGGTTCTCTTACTCACTCTCTCTCTCACTCTCTCTCTCTCTCCTTACATTAACATACATTAATGGCTTAATAACTATTTCAGCATAGTTTCGATATAAATCTTGACTGTTGTATTGTTTTTCAGTTTAAAGTGTAAATTAAAAAATGATGTAAAATGTAAAAATGATTTACACTTAAAGTTTTAGGTGTAAATCATTATTATTTCAAATTTAAATACACCTGTACATTTAAATACAGCTTTATCTAAAACACTGTAAAATATTGATGACAATGAGATATGTCACTTACAAAATTACAATATCCTTGGAAAAATCTGAACAGTCTACAAAAAGGCAAAGTTATCCTTTCTCAATGGCACCACCTTATTTTATGTCATATTAAATATTTAATGCAAAAACAATACAGCTTTTTTGTTGTACAGATAATCAGTGGGTTTTTGACAATACTTCCTGCACCTCCACATTCTGCAGCTATGTAGCACTTACTTTAACTTGGCTTTAAAAATAAAGTAAAATAAAAATTGCATGTGTCTTTGTCTCAAAGCTAAGTGTGATCATTCTATAAACACATGCAGTAACCAGAGATTAAAAAAACAAAATTACCGTAAAAACATGATAATTCCTCAAAGAAAAATCACTGAACTTGGTTCTCCTGGACTGTATATAAAAAATTAAGGGTTGTGAAAAATAGTCTTACTTTTGCTTTCATTATACACATGGAAGTAAAGTGAAAAGTCTTTTTAGGTGCTTAAATCTGTGGTGTAGTCTAGTCTTAAGTAGTGTGACTAACTATGACAAGACAAGCTAGCTTAAAACAACCAGGGTTTCTCTACATAGTAAATTAGTAAATACAGGTATTTGGCTGTTGACATTTTCACAAGACTGGCAAATTAGTACACACTGTCTGGTATGATATTTGCCCAGAATTCATATAAAATTTAAAGTATAAATAAAATCCAGATGAGGCGTGTTCACCCACAGTTCTTTGTATGGGAAAATGTCAGACCCCTGCAGTGCTGCCAGTTAACAGATGATGGAGCTGTGCTCAAGCGCAAATTCAATAATTTGACCTACATTGCAAGCCAGTGCAACAAGACACATAATGCAAATAAAGCTCTTGTTCGATTTAACACCCTATTTCCAAAAAATTGAGATGTAGAAAATGTAAATAAAAACAGAATGCAATGATGTGCAAATCATTTAAATCTTATACATCATTGAAAATTGTACAATATCAGAATTTATAATGTTGAAACTGAGGAATCAAAATTTTTTTTAAACGTTTGCCCAAATTTGCCAGCAACACGTTTCAAAAAAGTTGGAACAGGGGCATGTTTACCACTGTGTTGCATCACCTCATCTCATAACAACACTCTGTAAGTGTTTGGGAACTGAGGGGACAAGTAGCTGTAGTTTTCAAAGTGAAATGTTTTCTCATTTTTGCTTGACTTAGGACTTCGGGGCAGTTTGGGATCTCCTTTGTCATATTTTTCATTTCGTAATGCGGCCAGGTGTTTTCAGTGGGTGGCAGGTCTGACTGCAGGTAGGCCAGTTTAGCACCCGGACTCTTTTACTACAGAGCCATTCTGTTGTAATACATGCAGAATATGGTTTGGCATTGTCATGCTGAAATAATAAGGCCTTCCCTGAAAAAGATGTTGTATGCATGGCAGCATACATTGCTCCGATTTCTGTATGTTAATGGTACCTTCACAGTCTTAGTTATGCAAGTCATTCATGCTATGTGCACTAATACACCCCCATACCATCATGGATGCAGGCTTTTGAGCTGTGCAGTGCAAACAAGCTGTATGGTCCCTCTCCTAGCCTGGAGGACAGACGCCCATGATTTTCAAAGAGAATGAAAAATGTGGACTTGTGAGACCACAGGACACTTTTCTTCACCTCAGTCTATCTTAAATTAGCTCAGGCCCAGAGAAGGTGGCAGCATTTCTAGATCCTGTTTATGTATGGTTTCTTTTTTGCATAGTAGACTTTTAGTTTGCATTTGTGGATGCAGCAAAACTTTTTGCTCACAGACAATGGTTTTCAGATGTGTTCCTGACCCAAGACAAAGACATCCAAGACATCCAAGACAAAATCGTGCTTGTTTTTCATGCTGTACTGCCTGAGGGCTGGAAGACCATGGCCAGTCAATACTGTTTTTTCAGCTATGTCCCAATGATTTGGGCTGATAGCAGGATATTAGCTGTTTAATCCTAAAACTCTACTTATTTACACAGAACACATTTCATGTGATACATCAACAATATCATGAGAAATAGAAACTTTACATGAGAAAACAAAAATGTTCTTAATGTAATTTAATATAAAGATGTTTTATTCCAAAATGATTTTGGAGCATTTATGTTATTCCAATCATCATAAAAACTTCAACCAATATGAAAAGCAGCTGCCGTGTTGTAGAGAAATTTTAACACCCACAAAAGTGTTGGCACAAGTTTGGGTATATTTTTGTGTATATTGTATTTTTTATTTACTTTTTTTTTAATGTGTTTGAGGCTGTTTTGAGGTATTTTATTTGAGGTACTTTATTTGGGAGAATATAAGCATTTACAAGCATTTATTATGCACATAAGAATGTTCCAGTAAAGTACTATGAGAATTTCTAGAGAATCTGCTTGCTATATATTCTCAGCAACAGCAGGGAGCAGTGTGAGGTGGTGGTTTGCTCTGTGTGTGTTTTCAGATTTCCCTCCTAACTCTATACGAGAACTCTGTAGCATTAAAACCTGTAATCATCTCTTGTATTAAAGTATAAGAAAAACACAACATCATTAAGTTTAGTCAACAAAGACAGTGTCCATCATGTGCATCCACAGTCACTCTCTTTCAGGCCCAAGGCTCCCAAAAAGACTAAAGTTCCCTGAATAAGCGCCTTACCTAATTCCAAAAAGATAGAAGTGACCAGTTGGGGTTCCATTACCACATGTCACTCAATGTCTGGTATGATAGATTGGAGATAGAATAATAAGAATAGTATAGGTATGAGCAAGTCTTTATCTTAATCACAATCAATTTGTCAAGTAACAATCACTGTTCACACATTATAATGTTCCTGAAGAGAAGAAACAACACAAACATATCACAGGCCTCACAGAGATACAAAAACTAATAAATATTTACTATACACTATATAGACAAAACTATGGGGGCACACCACCTAATTATTGAGTTTAGGTGTTTGAGCCACACCCATTGCTAACAGGTGGATAAAATTAAGCTCATAGCCTTGCAGTCTCGATAGACAAACACTGGCAGTAGAACGGGTCATACTGATGAACTCAGTGACTTTAAACATGGCACTGTCATAAGATGCCACCTCTGTGACAAGTCAGTTTGTGAAATGTCTGTCCTGCTAGATCTGCCCTGGTCAACTGTAAGTGCTATTATTGTGAAATGAAAGAGTGGGGCCACCAAGTGCTGAAGTGCACAGTGCCTATCCTCTGTTGAATCACTCACTAGTTCCAAGTTGGAATCAACAAGAAACTAAAAAAACTAGAAGCAAAAGAACTGCGTGTTGGGAGCTTCACGAAATAGGTTTCCATGGCTGAGCACCTACAAACAAACATCAAAATGCAAACTGGGGGGGGGGGGGTGGGGGGTGGGGGTGGGGGGGCTCTGGAGCAGTAGAAACATATTCTGTGGAGTGACTGCATTGTGCCAACTGTGAAGTTTGGTGGAGGAGGGATAATGCTATGGGGTGGTTTTTCAGGGGTTGGCCTAGATCTCTTAGTTCCAGTGAAGGGAAATCTTAGTGCTTCAGCACACTGGAGACATGTTGAACAATTATACACTTTCAACTTTGTGGGAAGAGTTTGGGGAAGACCCTTTTCCATTTCAGCATGACTGAGCCCCAGTGCACAAAGCAAGGTCCATAAAGGCATGGCTGGGTGTATTTGATGTGGAAGAACTTGACTGGCCCACACAGAGCCCTGACCTCAACCCAATCAAACACCTGTGGGATGAACTAGGATGGCCCTCTCGTCCAACATCAGTGTCTGATGTCACATACTCTTCTGGATGAATGGGCAAAAATTCCCACAGACACACTCCAAAAATCTTGTAGAAAGCTTCCCAGAAGAGTGGAAGCTGTTATAGCTGCAGAGGGGGGACCAACTTCATATTAATGCGTATGGATTTAGAATGGGATTTCGTAAAAGCTCCTGTGGGTGTAATGTGTAGGTGTCCCAATATTTTTGATATTAGGATATATATGTATATATACTTTTTTTTTAAGAAATACATTCTGTTTTGAATGATTTGATTACAGGAGGTAATCTGCTCCTTCAGATGTTTGGAGTGTGTTGATCATGCTATTATGAAAACTACCCAACAGTTTATTTAGTAAAACATTCTGCATTCAGACTTACTGTTTTGATTTGTTTTCAAGAAGGTTCACTGGAAGTAACTTTAGTGCAGAGTACAACATCAGAGCCAGCCCATTCCAAATAAATATACCAGACAGGTGCGCCAGCTAGTTCAGACTAATGACAGGTCATTTGACATTTGTCAATCAAGATGAAGCTGCTCCTGGGTCTGTGTCTGTCTGCTCTCTTCTGCTCAGGTAAAATAAAAACTCATGTTTTTGTTATCCTTTTTTCATGTTTGCTACATGATACATGTTTACTATTTGATTTATAAACCACAACTTTATGTGTTTGTTTTTATGTATTCATCATAAAAGTTTCTCAGTGACTTTATTCATAACTTGTTTCTAACTGTTCCTTTAAAACAGTATTGCATTCATGCTACTCTTTTACTAAAGGAAAGTATAGACGTACCAAAACAGACTTGCTACACATTTACCACACCACAAAAAAAATTTGGAAGCTTTGGAATGTAGTGCTGCTTGATACATTAACAGTACTACTTTATAACAAAACTACCTTTATAAAGAATGCCTAAATGGCTAAAATGAGCTTATTAATGGTTACTAATTAGGTAATAAACCTGAAAATGGCAGCTATAACACATAAATTAATAAGATTTCATTCTTGCCAAATATTGAACCCACATTCATCTATAATGTTAGAACTTTGGTCTTTGGTCTTTGGTTACTTGTCTTACATTGTGTTATCTCCAGCAGCCACCACTGAAAAACTGTCTTTTTTGTTTGTGTATTATAACTGCTATTCAATGATTTTAAGGTAATGACCTGATAAATAACCATTAATAAAGTAATTTTAAAGCATTCATAAATCTTTTAAGCGGCAATCTTAACTGTAACATGGGACTAAATTTAACATTGGCCGTGTCAATGAAGGCAACTGTCTTGCTGCCTGTGCTGTCTTGCAAGTCAGTGCCTCAGAAGGCATCTCTTATGAAAAAAAAGTGTTTTAAGATAGTTAGCATGCTGAACTTTTTCTTATCAAAGTAAAAAGTATTGTATATGTACACAAACTGGTCTCTCTCCTCCGCTGTGTCACTGCTAGTGTTTCTGCATTTTTTTCCTAACCACATTGGCACTTAGGATTGGCACAAAGGATTATGGGATATGTAGGGCAGTAAAGGATGCATCTAAACTGTCTTCAAAAACAGCCGAATGGAGGAAGGCAGCACAGGGTCTTATATTCATTTCAGACATGACTCGGTGCCTTCCAGTCTCAGACAGCCTTTATTGCATTTCACAGCCATTGTCACCCCCAAAATATTCATGAGCAATGTCAGTGTCTAGATATAAAAAATGTGTATAACATGTTAGTTCCAGTATTCATGCATTGTCTATCTACTGGGTTTGCTTCTCTGTCAGTGTACACGCTGAAGTGCCTCCAGTGTCTCCGTGGTTCAGGTCAGTGTAGCACCACAGATTCGGTCGAGTGTGATACAGGCTCAGTGTGTGCTACTCTGAGAACTAGTATTGACGTGTCAGGTAAGCACGAGAGTGTCTTTTTAATGTTTTAAATGTTAACTGTTTATGATTCAGTTTGTTTATGTCACCAAATTTTCTATTGTTATATCATATGGACCCCTTTTTTCAAATTTCTGCTTAAAGGGTTTTCTGTGGCTACTACCACAGTTGCACGTGATTGCCTAGAACAAAGCCTCTGTTCTCTGCTAAGTGCAAATTCTACAGGTGTAACTTACTCAACTAACATTGGAGTGGCAACTTTTGTTGGTTTCCTTGCCTGCTGTAATAAAGATAATTGCAATGACATCAACATTCCTGGTAAGAAATTTTTTTTTTGGTATTTGCTATTTCAAAAAAAGTAATGTTTTCATAATCAACTTGTTTTATGGCATATTAAACATAAAGTGTGTTTTTTTTAGAGAAGTGCTTGCACACTGTATGTCTATCATGAGCCCTGTCCCATTTGACGCACTAACAGTCCTGTGGTCCTTATTTGCGCTTGCATTTGTTTAATAATTTAACTTGTTGTGGAGCATTATTCTGCTTGTAATCTATATTAAGCCACTGTGGTTAAGCAAATTGGGTTATTAAAAGAAACAGGTACAACTGATAACATAATTTCACCAGTGTGATGCATGAGTGTGTCTTAAATTCAAACTTTATAACCTAGCCCCCTCGGCTTGTTCTCTACTTTGAGGCAGATCGAAGGGCTTAGGGTGCCTTTTGGGACAGTCCACGATTGTTGCCTTCTAATTAAAATATAGCTTTTCAATGACCTTTAAAGCAATACCTTCAGGAGATTATGCTGTACAGGCCTACTGGAGACCTATGGATAAATCAACGAGCAGCAATCAAACAAAAGCAATAGCAAAGTGGAAAGCTACAGTGAGCATGAGAGCGCCACAATCACGGAGCAGTTGGAGTCATAACTGTATATGTGATATATACAGTCTAATGCAAACGTTTTGGTGCCACTAGTCAAATTAAGTTTTGTTGATATTCTAAGTGAAAATAAGTTAACACATCCATTCCAGAGAACACATTTCTACACGTCAATGCACAATTACTGTTTATGTGCTGAATTTAACATGTTGGGAAAAAACAAAACAAAAAGCAAAGAAATTTGCAAAGAAAAAAAAATAGCTAAAAATTCCACATTTATGTTTGTTCCCAGTAAAAGGTGTGTTAGCTCATTTTCACTTAATAGATCCCAGAACGTTTGCATATGATGGAATAACACCTCACTGATGTTGATGAAAGCCGGAAGCCATGTTACCCCAGTGGAAATCTCATGATTTTCATGTTCAGGTTCATGAGAACTAATTTATTCAAAGTCATGATATTGATTTAATAGGTATACACATGCATTCTGATTAGTGTTTCTTTTGGGTAAAATTTGAGCAAATAAGACAAATGTTATTATTAATGATTAAGTACACAAATCAGGATACAGTTTGACAGCAGTATTACGTAAATACACAGACAGGTAACAAATTATATAAATACAGAAAAGTGTTCAACTGGGCTGAGATCTGGTCACTGCGAAGGGCACAGTTTATGATTTACCTCATGAAACATAGTCATGAAATGATTCAGTGATCATTGTGGTCATTCTGGAAGAGACCACTCCCGTCAGAACAGAAATATTTCATCATATGATAAAAAATACCTCTGTGTTAATTTAACCAACCATGCCAACAAAATGCCCCTCACAGCATAGAAAGGGTCACTGTTTCTATTAAAACGCTGTCCAGTTGAGCAGTCTTTGTGACTGAAGCTCTTGCCATCTGTGCCCCAGTAATGATCCCTCTTTCAATGTCACTTACACATTTTTATGATCCACAATCAAGGTCAACAGGGCCTGTTTAACATATAGTCGCTGTCCAAAGAAAAACAAATATCTCCAAAATAGTAACTTTGCAGGGAAAGGCAAAAACACTCTTACCTTTCAATGTAAGTTAATGTAAAGAGGTTTTATTCCAAGTGATTTTAGAGCATTTCTATTGGTCCAATCATCATGGATTTTTTACATGACATAAAGGACAGCTGGTTTGTTGAAATGATGTAGAAAAATAAAAATCAACAAAAAATGGAGATACATGGTTTTCTCTGGACAGCAACGATATGCTACACAGCATGTCAGAAGATTATTTTCTTACTTGATTTACATAACATGCCTGTCTGCAAGCACATGCACTTGTAATGCTTCTCCACTCATTTTCTTCTTTTGTTGCTCATCTGGCAATAAATGATTATACTGGATTATATTCATATAAAAACAAATTGTAAACATACAGTGATTAATATAATCATTTACACCTGAAACGTTAGTAAGGATGAATTTCTACTCTGTCCAAACTCAAGTTTAGAAACATCCAGACAATCTAGTTTGCAAATTGCACCATCTCATTTTCGTGGGTAAGTAGCACCGTGAGTTTTACTTTAGAATTAGTAAAGGAATGTGGATTCACTTTCACGTATGACAGAAAATCCAAATTACTGTTTTTGCAAATTACTGTGTTGAACCTGTTAAAGTTTCTGTTCTTTAAATATTGAATAAAGATCAGGAACCAGAATGACCCTAAAATTTCTAAAATTTATGAAAATACAAAAAGCATTGAAATGAATGCTAACACCTGAGTTAGACCACAAGCAATGAGCGGTGAGTGGATTAGGTTTAAGAAAATGACAGTCTGTTTCATTTCTATAATACACACTTAAATACATTGAAAAACATAAAACGTAAGAGTATTGATGCATTCGAATCCACTATTCAGATCAGTTCAATTATTTCATCTTATCCATGGTTATAATAAATTAACCGTATTGTTTCATTCAAGTTTGTTATTTTTTCTTTTTTCTTTCTTCTACAAAACCACACAACAGGAAGTGTTTGGTGTTGCTAGCTATGAGTGATCTAGTCTTGCATCACCAGATATAATATATATATATAAAATATAACATATATAATAATATATAATAGGTCCCCTTTAAGTACTATCGAAAAAAGAGAACACTTAAAATCAACATTTTCATTTTTTGAGTGTACCTGAGACGAATGCATTGCACTCGGCTGGTCCGCGTTACCCAGAGACCGAGGCAAGACCGAGTCAAAATAATGTTGCGACTGAGACAAGCCTGAAACTGGACTACATCACTACTTCAAACTCAAAAGTATTGAAGTATTTCGTTGAATTGATTTTGTGCATTGAGCACAACTCTGTCAAAACTCAACCAAAGGGTGATTCTGAAACATTCTGAAGAATGAACGTTTTAGAGGGAGCATAACATTGTTTGTGGTAGATTTTGCCACAATTTTAGCACCAAAAGTTTAACAGGTTGTCCCCAGATTGTTCTCAGTGTAAGATTATGTATGGCTCTGTGAGACTATGAGTGATCTAACCGGTATGAGTTTTTGCCTACAACCTGAGCACTGCTTCTATTTAGCTTATGTATTATGTATTATGTTTTACAGAACCTGACAACATCCTGAATGGACTGAAATGTGCCACCTGCAAAAATATATTGGACACAGTCTGCAACACTACTGTGTCCTGTGTGGGAAACCAAAATCGCTGTGTGAATAACACCAGTTAGTTTCATAATAGCTATAATAACATATACAGAACATACTCTATGTGTTATTATTTTGTAATAATCGCACCTTTTGAAATTATTATGCAATGTGTTGTCTTTTTCCCCCCTCAGTTCTAGATCTGCCAGTTTTTGGTTCAGTGGTAAGCACGCCTGCAAAGGGATGCATCTCTAAAAGCTTCTGTGATGCTACCGGATTGGGAAGTGTCACTTGTTGCTCGGGAAACATGTGTAATGGGAGTGAAGACTGGCTCAGACTGGACCTCAGCCTTTTACTGATTGCCTTAACTGCAACCATGCTATATTAATAGATATCTCTCCCTCTCTCTCTCTCTGTCTCTCTCTCTCTCTCTCTCTCTCTCTCTCTCTCTCTGTCTCTCTCTCTCTCTCTCTGTCTCTCTCTCTTTATCTCTGTTTTTCTCTCTCTCTCTATTTATGTAAAGAAATGTCAATGGATACGTATTTCTACTGTAATAATTACCATAATATGTTGCTAAAATACTACAGCTTATGTTTTACATTTAAATGTGTTCAATGCAAAGCAGCTCCTTTTATTTCTGGATATAGCGTATTTAGAGCATATTCTGGTGACAGTGAACATGCCTCAGTCTGTTTAGTGCATTGAAGTGTGTTTAGGACAAGACAATAGGACAATATTTTCTACACACAAGAAAAAAACGGTTGTACTCAAACAGGTGCTGTTTTAAAAAAATATATAAATCAGAATGACTTGCATCTGAATTCCATGCTGGCTGAAATGTCATTTCATATGCACACATTTTCTAAGCTGCTTATCCTTCTGGGTCGAGGGGGTAGCTGGAGTAAAATGTCATCATAATTTTAATTTAAAAATCAAATAAAGGCTTTTTATAAGGAGAGCTTCCTACTTTCTTGTTGTCTATACATTTTTGTAGCTATATAACACCTTATTTTTATTTTAAAAGTTAAATACACAGTAAAAACCAATGAAAAAGATGAGTAAACCTAAAATTTACTTCACAGCTTTTTTGCACCAACTCAACTGGCATTAGTAACTCTGATTCCCTCAAACTGAGATAACACAAAAAAAGCTGTGAAGTTGTGTTCAATCCTCTAAAACTGTAGTCTGTATTTTTTCACAAGGTTTTGTAGTTCTATGCTTGGATAAGATCATGTACTCATTTTAAGATAATATCATAATAAGATAATAATCTGAAAGTGTTTGTAGAAAGAAATGGTTTATGTGAAAACGAAACCAACTTTGACCTAGTTTGCTAGTTACTGAAAAGTGCATGATGAACCACATTCCAACTGTAAAACAACAACATTTGGCACATCAAATTATATATATATATAAAAAAAAAAACTAAATACAGGCTGCAGAGAGGTGTATGGCATTCTGGGAGTCCACTACATGCTCCTCTCTGCTCTCCTATTTGGCCCAATTCTTAAGTCCAGTGGTGGCACCACAATATGCACGGGCTGGTCTAACAGAGAGAAATGCCTTTCTCTGAAACGAATTAACCGGAACCTTATCACTGTTCCATAGCAGAGCTCTTCTGTAGATCATCATTTAAATCAATGTTAAACAGTGTTTTAGAGTGAAATGAAAAGTGAAATTCACACCACTTGGCATGATGTTTTCATTATTCTCCCTGCAAAACCTGTAAAACCACACCAACTGACTCCTCTGAATTCAGAGTATCAGCAGCTCTACTTTAAACCTCTGCTGGATAGATAAGCTCTTTACTCTTTCTGAGTGTTTATGCCCAAAAACCTTTATGTGTGTGTAATCAAAGTTCCAATACTATGCTTTCCTACAAGCTCTGGATTAGGAAATTTATTTTTGGTGCTATAGGAACAGTCGGGTCCTGTGGAAAAGTGAGAAGGGGTGAAAACACTGAAATCATTAAAATTTTAAATAATTTTACTACTACTACTACTACTACTACTACTACTAATAATAATAATAATAATAATAATAATTTACTGTTTTTGCTGTTGTTTTTAAATCAAGTGAATGTATGTGTAATTCTGTATTGGTTGTCGAACAAAAAGTCTAAAATATGACTTTCACACAAGATTCTGCTTGTTGTTGATGATGACGATGACAACTAGTGTCAAGTATGCCCCAGACATTCGAGTGAAGCTAGGTAGGCTCACCCTGTCTGCTAAAGCAAATGTCCAAACTGCTCTCCAGTAAGCTAAAGTTGGTTAGCTCAGTCAGTGACTGTTTGTCCTCCACAGTGTGTGATATCGCTCGCCCACATTTCTCCAAGAGGGCGCTGACTTTCCAGTTAGCAGCTTGGGTGACCGGAAAACAACAAATTGCACTGGCTGCATTTGATTTTGCATGTTGTATAACCCACTGAGCCTGGTGCTTTCACACTGCAGAGAGAGAGAAAGATCATGTAAAGAAGTAAATTTGTTTTCATTTTTTTTTTCCATCTCTGTGGAGTGAAGGGGTCAGTTTAAGTTTTTGCAGTCACTATGTACATAAGTCATGAATCCTGCCTGCAATGCAGTTTCGAGACCTGGGGTTATGAATGTACCTTGAGACTCAGGGTGAATGGTACATGTGTGAGAGTGTGTGTGCTCCATCATTGTGTTTTTCTCTAAACTTGCCAAAACGCTTATACTGTACTATAGTGTTAGAGTTCTCTTCAGTCATTTGCCATTAGTCCACCACAGAGTGCATTTACTTTTCATGTAAATAGATGATCTAAGTTGTTGCAAATCAGATGTTGTAACAGCCACTAAAACTTGAATTTATGTAGATAAGAAAACGCAGGGCCCCAGACATAACTAAGGGCGACTCTAGAGAGTACCAGGGTGGGGGGGGCTACAGAAATGTCATTTGTTCAGTGTTTCTTTTGTTAGCTCCCTGTCTTTGTGCATTTGTTTGAATTGGCATTCACTCAGTGCCTCTATGTAGCGAGTTTGTCTGGCAATACTAAACTCTTCCTCAAACTGTTGTAATCTGAGAGCCTCACTCACAAGCTATAACAACACATTTCGCAGCATAATTATCTTTCATTTGTTGTTTTTTCACCACCACACCCACAGCTCTCAAGAAACTTTTTCTCTGCTTTCTCTACCAGGGAAATAGAAGCCTGTAACTTTCCATTTAAATTCAAATCAAATATAGTAGTGTTGCACTGTTTACAACTGAGCCTCTCCAAAAGAAAACCATATATTAACAATTCCACCTTTTTTTGGATTATCAGTTATTTTGTTTTCTATTTTATTTTGTACAACCTTTCACATTGAAAGCCAAACAGTACTTTATTTTAGGTCCAGGCCGCTACTGAGCAAATACATACAAAAGTATTGGGACACCCCTCCTAATTATTAAATTCAGATGTTTCAGCCATACCCATTGCTAACATGTGGATAAAATTAAACACATAGCCTTGCAGTCTCGATAAACAAACACAGGCAGTATAATGGGTCGTACTGATGAGCTTAGTGACTTCAAACATGGCACTGTCATAGGATGCCACCTCTGTGACAAGTCAGTTTGTGAAATGTCTGTGCTGCTAGATCTGCCCCTGTCAACTGTAAGTGCTATTATTGTGAAATAGAAGCACCAAGGAGCAACAACAGCTTAGCGATGAAGCAGTACACCATGCAAACTCACCGAATGGGCCTGCCAAGTGCTGAGGTACACAGCGTCTATACTCTGTTAAATCACTCACTAAAGAGTATCAAATTGTCTCTGGAAGCAACATCGGCAAAGAACTGCGCGTTAGGAGCTTCATGAAATGGGTTTCCATGGCTGAGCAGCTACACACAAGCCTAAGATCAAAACGTACAGCGCTGAGCGTTAAGGGGGAGTGATGTAAAGTGTGCTGCCACTGGACTCTGGAGCAATGAAAACACATTTTGTGGAGTGATGAATTATGCTTTTCTATCTGACAGTCTGATGGATGAGTCTTGGTTTGGCGAATGCCAGGAGAACGTTACCTGCCTGACTGCATTGTGCCAACTGTAAAGTTTGGTGGAGGAGGGATAGTGCTATGGAATTGTTTTTCAGGGGTTGGCCTGGGTCCCTTAACTCCAACTTCCAACTTTGTGAGAACAGTTTGGAGAAGACCCTTTTCTGTTCCAGCATGACTGTGCACAAATGCACAAAGCAAGGGCCATAAAGGCATGGTTGGGTGAGTTTGTTGGTTGTGTGTGGAGTCCTGACCTCAACCCCATCAAACATTTTTGTGAGCCAGGCCCCCTTGTCCAACATCAGTGTCTCACCTCACAAATGCTCTTCTGAATGAATGGGCATGAAAGTCCTGCAGACACACTTCAAAATGTTGTAGATGCTTCCCCTGGAGGAACAACTCTATATTAATATCCATAGCTTTAGAATGGGATGCAAGTGAGGTGTAATGTGTAGGTGTCCCAATACTTTTGTTCATATAGTGTAACATCATTGTCCCAAAAAAAAAAAATCTCCATTTTCTTTTTTGATTTTTATTGTTTTATATCAATTGAGCACTAAGGTCGCCCTTTACATTGTGTGAAAAAGTCATGATGAATGGACCAATAGAAATGCTTGGAAAAATAGAAAGGCTTGGAAAAAGTCTCATTACTTTAACTTACATTAATAGTAAAGAACATAACTCTCTGCTGTAAAGCTACCATTTTGGAGATGCTGTCTCCTAGATTATGTCTATTCTTGTTTCAGCATAACAACGACACCCACATTCTGCACAGGTTACAACTGCCTTGTTGCATAATCAGAGAGTGCGGGTGCTAGACAAGTGCAAGATAAAAAGGAAATTAAAAAGTGGAATAAAAGAGAATCTCAAAGTATCTTTAGTTCTATAACTTTTAGTCCTACAACTCCTTAATGTTCAATGTAATCTTTCACAACATGTGCACACTTTAAATACTGCATATGACACATTATTTCTGGATTTTGTTTTTGTGCAATGCAATGATTCAACAGTTTCTATCATATGTGTTCTGTAATGAAGTGAAGAGCTATAAACAACTGTGAAGACTGTGAACATTGATCATATGCTGGTCTTCATTTTTGAAAAATATTCAAAAATGAAAAATAAAATAAAGTCTATCAAATGTAAACATTATAGTTGTGTCAAAGTTAGAGCATTAATGCTATAAATAATTAAAGGCAGTAATTTTGATTGGTAATTAATGGCAGTAATTTATAAAATTCCATTAACATATTTTTTCAGTTTGACCCTTCAACAATCCATAGTTCAACCCTAAAGCCCAGCTGCTCGCATGCTGTATGTTGCTAGATCCTCTTGTTTAAATACATCTGGTAAACGGTAATTGCAGAACTTGAATGGATGAACAGCTGTTTTGACACCAAAGCCTCATTATGAACGGTTCTACAGCAAATTCAGCGCCAGTGT